CTGTTTTCAAGCTGTCCCAGTGCGTTGTTTATCAGCATCCACTTCGCAGAGTGCTTTGCTCGTATCGTAATGGGATGTGGCCGACCCAAGAACCACCTTGCCGATCAATGCTTTGGAAACTAATTTCACCTGTTTATCAAGGATGATGGACTCAGGAATCTGACCAGGCATGTACAACAACATCATCATTGAAGTTCACATTTCCCAAAAATCAGCAGTGTGCACTGGTCATGTGTCCTATCTCAGACCATGACTGCATCATCCCAATCGGGAAGAGCAATCTTGGCATAGTGTGCCGAATCAGTCCTCCACGGAGGCAGAAGTGAGCGAGTAGCCACAGGGGCTGCTAGAAGTGATGGCAATAGCCGAAGGGGGGTCAAGGACAATTGAAGGGTGGCATAAGCCGAAGGAGTGCCCAACGGGTGAATGGTGCCCATAGGGCGAAGGTGGCCATGTGCCGAAGGATTGATGGATTTTCAACAATCTATATGGTGGGGGACCCCTTTTTCGTTGCAATCTTTTCGAGTCTCTTGATTAAAGCAAGTGTGAAGTTGTCATGCGAAGGGATCATTCGAAGAGGTCTGGAATATAGGAGCTCTTACAATGATAGTTTATGGATTCACAATATACAATATAACGTGCCATTCTTACACCTACAGTCCATGTGATACTCAAACGTCCGACGCTCACAATCTGCACGCAAACGGTGGGAGCCTTACTGCTGCAGATGCGTGTTCAACATTGGACTCTTGTAGCTCACTTCACGTCAATTAATTTCCTGTAATATCATTTGAGGTGCATTATACTGAGCGAATAATTCAATTCCTTTTTGATATTCGCGTCCGTCGTTCGATTACACAAAAGAAAAACAATCGGCTGTTTTGGACGTTGAAATGGCCAGTGGGCTAAGCCAGAAACCCACACCAGTTATTTGAAGTAGTTTTGATGGCACAAATTTTGGAACATGTTTCATGCTATCATGCCAACCACAGTACACCAGGATTGAGATGCTAAATTGGACACCATTAAGAAGTTTGGGGATGAGATTGTCAAGTTTGTGGAATCCAAAGCTCCAAAAGACCCAAACCAACAGATGCTTGAGCAGATGGAAAAAGTTGAAGGAAGAAAATGCCCATCTCAATCAACAGGTGTCGCAGAGTACCCCAGGCAATCCACCTCCAGCCCCCTCAGCACCATCCCGACCGACCAACAATACCACGGGACCCATGGATGCCCTTTTGCGATCTGGTGGAGTTGAGGGCCTTACTGCTGCAGATTCGTGTCCAACACTGGACTCTTGTATTGTAGCTAATTTTATGTCAATCAGTTTCCTGGAATACTCTCCACATATGGACTTTTTAGGCCTATTCTACTGAGCGAACAATATGGTTCACGTATTAGTGTCTGTCATTCAGCCACCAAAGAAAAACATTCGGCTGTTCGGACGTTGGATTGGCGAGTGGGCTAAGCCAGAAAGCATTTCTCTTGTTTGCAACATTGGGAACATGTTCTGTAGTGCAGTACTCTACGCCTTCGTCATCCCAAACATTTTTTCACTTAATCAAATTTGTAATCTGTGATCTGGCCTCACCAAGCACTCGGCGGCGCAGTTGTTGGCTGAGAGACTGAGATCCCACTTGGTGCGATTGAAGAGCGACCAGAGCTTTCAGGCCGCAAAGAAGAAAACCCCTCAAGAGCGAAGAAGAATGCTGAGATGTTTGCCGTAAAGAAGCCGAAAAGAGCATTGGCTGCTATGTTCGCCATGCGCTGGACATCAAGCTCAGCAACCACTGTGGACAACACCAACGACACAACCTTCACCTACAACCTCCTCAACTTGGACACTTTTCAGATCCTCTTCACCGTGGCGATGGCGATTGTCATGGGCTGGATGATAACTAGATGCTGGCGACACGGAGACCGAATGGATCAGATGGAACAAGCTGAGCAGATCGCTGAAGAGGAACCCCTCGAAGAGGACAGTAATCCAGCGACCCGCATGGCCGAGACACAGACCGAGCTCTACATGGGCGACGTGGTCAGTTCTTCGATGAGACTCAGCGCTTGGAGTTCTACATTGAGGAGAAGACGGTTCCCCGGTACGTCTACGACGCTATGTGGGAAGCCCAATTCAGAGAGCTGGACAACTACTACGAGGCCTTGTATGGGAACACCCGAAGGATGGAACTTCAAGAGTGCCAACATCGAGCGAACCTCCACAACCTGACCCAAGCTCCAGTGTACTTCACCCGCCATGGGAGATGCTGGCATGCTGATCCTGCAAGCTTACAAAGGTCATCGAGAAGGGCTATTGCACGAGATGCGCCCACACCCTTGGAGGGATTCTCCAACCTGATGAAGATTCTGCGACCAATGCGACCAATGCGGCCGATGATCCTCCAACGCAGCTGAGATTTTTCACCTTTTACATCTCACTCTTTTGCACCGGTGTGATTTGCACACAAATGAGCAGCAGATGTTTCAGCTTAGGGTTATGGCATTTTCATTTGCCCTTTGCCCCCTTTTGACCCTTTGGGCCAGACGCCCATTTCCACAGGGAACATATCATTCTCTCTTCGAAACTTGGCTCACTGCTCCAATCAACCCAGCTGAGCAGCTGAGCCAACCATGGCAAAGCACACGGCAGCAAACATCATTCTCTCTTCGAAACTTGGCTCACTGCTCCAATCAACCCAGCTGAGCAGCTGAGCCAACCACGGCAAAGCACACGGCAGCAAACATCATTCTCTCTTCGAAACTTGGCTCACTGCTCCAATCAACCCAGCTGAGCAGCTGAGCCCACCACGGCAAAGCACACGGCAGCAAACATCATTCTCTCTTCGAAACTTGGCTCACTGCTCCAATCAACCCAGCTGAGCAGCTGAGCCAACCACGGCAAAGCACACGGCAGCAAACATCATTCTCTCTTCGAAACTTGGCTCACTGCTCCAATCAACCCAGCTGAGCAGCTGAGCCAACCACGGCAAAGCACATGGCAGCAAACATCATTCGTTTGGGTCCCATGGGCATGCGCCAGATGCTACCTGGCTAGGCGGCCTGGAAAAAAACCGCTGTGACCTTTGCAGGCTGCACTTCGTCAGGCAGCAACTGGTTTGGACAACTGCTACCAAATCAACAGTTGTTTATTGCGATTGAACTCTTGTCGTTGGATGCCACCTTGTATCACTATCCTGGTTCCTTGACAATCCTTGATAATCCATGGTAATCCTTGGTAATCCTTGATACAACACACTTGAAGAAACGTGGACACAAGTTGGAGCGATACAGCATTCGATTGCGAATTATTGGATAAACCCTTGGCAAAACAAGGCCGGGGCGGCCCTCTGGCGCCTAGAAAGCGGAGTGGCTCTACGGGATCACCACTGGTTTTTACACCGAACTGCATTGATCAAACTGTGACCCAGTACAGCAATGGTCAAAAGCGTCAGAAAAGAGTACAAAAAATCAGCAGAACTGGGAAATCCACATCTGGCAGCCGTATACTCCTCAGAGTTGAAACTGCCTGGGTTGCAACCAACGATTCAGGTGTCCTATAGATACAACTTTGATGTGACCAATGGGAAACAAATCCCGAAATACGGTAAACAGTAAGGCACCGGCATTGGACAAGTCTTTCAACTTGTTCATTTCCTGACAAAGCACCGGGCAACAAACCCAATATTATGCCAAAACAAAGAAACACTGCCTTTGATCTTTACATTTTTCCCCAAACAGTGTGGCCACACTTGGGGTTCTTGCGGTCAGGGTTAAGTCGCGCTGGTTGATCGACATGATATCCGGAGCGTTCGGCAAATCTGGTGACCCTCGCAGCACAAAAGCTCCCGCATCTTCCGTTTTTAACAGAACTCTCGCACGAAACGGCGGCCCGGAGACCTCTCGCACAACCCTCTCGTCACTTTGGGCCTCTCAGGTCGCTCTCTTTGTGTTGCGGTGCGAATTTTGTGATCGCTCGCGCAACCCTCTCACTTTGGGCCTGTCAGATCGCTCTCGTTGTGGCGCGGTGCAATTTTTGGATCGCTTTGGGCGTGCCAGATCGCTCTCATTGTGGCGCGGTGCGAGTTTTGGGATCGCTCGCGCAACCCTTTTGGCACTTTAGGCGTGCCAGATCGCTCTCGTTGCGGCGCGGTGCTCAGTTTGACAATCAAGGAGATCTTGCGCAGAGATCTTGGCAAGGAGGTCTTTTCTAGAGAGCTTGCCCAGACATCTTGACACAGAGAGATCTTGTACAGAGACCCTTAGACCCTTAGACCCTTATAGGCTATAGAGATCTTGTACAGAGATCTTCCCAAGCGGTCTGTTGCAGAGATCTTGCCAAGAGGTCTCTTGCATAGATCTCGCCGAGAGAGCTCGTAGAAAGAGATTGCGCAGCGATCTCTGCAACAGGTCTTGCCAAGCGACCTTTTCTAGGGGGCTTGTACAGAGATCTTGCCAAGAGACCTCTTGTAGAGATCTTGTACGGAGACATTCCATAGAGATTTGTTGAGATCTTGCCAAGAGGTTCCTTGCAGAGATCTTGCCAAGAGAGCTCTTATAGAGAGCATCTACAGAGATCTCAAAAAGAGATCTTGCCAGGAAACCTCTTATAGAGACCTTGCACAGAGATCTTGCCAACAGACCTCTTATAGACATCTTGCACAGAGATCTTGCCAAGAGGTCTCTAACAGAGATCTTGCCGGGAGATGCTTTTTAGAGAGCTTGTACAAGGGACTCTTGTACAGAGACCTGGTGAAGAGAACAGAGATCTTGCTCAGAGATCCTCTTAGAGCGTTTGAACAGAGACTTTACTTTGAGATTGTTTACTTAGAGTTTCTGTGGAGATCTCTCATAGACACCTTGTACAGATAGCCTTACAAAGGGATCTTGCACAGCAACTTCTACACAGAGCCTGTCAGAGATCTTCACAAAGGGAACTTGCAGAATCTAACCTGCTATCTCAGTGTCTCTTGCCGGGATAATTTTACATTTCGGCATGGCCAGCACTACAAAGCTGCCTCGAGCAATTTTCGATGCTCCTCCTCCAGCCTTGCTACAACCTGCAGGTGCATCATGGTGCATCCCGTGAGGGATCAACAAAAGGGCTGCATCCTTGGCCTTTTGTACATTTGTTGATACTTTGTGTACTGTTTCAGACTTGAACTTCTTATTCTGATTGTGGCTATATGATGCTATATATATGTTTGATTATGTTTGTCTCAAATAGCCAGGAGTATGTGCTGACATGGATTCTATCTGGGAAAAACCTGGAACTTGCAATAAAAGCTGCATGATAAAGTCTTCAAGTTGGTATGCAACTGGCTTTTATATAATCATACGGGAAGTATCACAAGAGTTGTAAAAAAAGGAAACCGGGATATCTTGAAGACTTGAATATGGCATGTTTGGGCAAAGATGCCGTTGTCATCACCTAGAAAAAACAAGTTTGGCCGCTGAATCAAAACGATTCCCTCTTACTTGACGCTCCTTGCTGCACAGAAACCTTGGAGTTGCCCTTGGGTTTCTCCCCTTCACTTCCCAAAGCCTCCTTCCACGAAAGACAATGAACACCAGATGTGGTGATGGAAATGACTCGTTTCATCTTGACTCTATGTTTTCCACTTCTATAATTCTACTTCTACGTACTTCTACTACTGTATATTCTGCTCAAAAGTGTGGAAACCGGCTTCACGCAATGACCTTTCTCATCGGATGGACGTGTGACTCTGACGGATTGGCTCCTTGCCACTTGTTCCACTTGCTCTCAATACTGAATTGAGGGATTGAGGCTTGTAGTGGGCTAGTGACGGCTAGTGTTGCAATACTAAAATATTTCAAGGTCCGCAAACTGACAACGAAAGTCATTACCATTGCTTGTGCAGCCTCATCAACACACGCTCCAACTCCTTCGGTGCTGGAATTTGAAGGGCTTGACCCAGGGTCAAACGGCTCTAGTTTTGCTTCCCACACCCCATCAACCAGCACAGGAAGTGGGACAGTCCTTGAGCCAATTGATCATCATTTCATGCTGTTTCTTGCTGAAGAAGTGCTGATTCCTGTCAGAAATCGCCTCTGTTTAACTCTGTTTGCTTCTCTGTCTTCTCTGTCTTCTCTGTCTTCTCTGTCTTCTCTGTCTTCTCTGTCTTCTCTGTCTTCTCTGTCTCTGCCTTCAACATCTTTGAGTACTTAGAACATAAACACTTGAACATATCTGTGTTTGTTTCCTCTTGAACATGGGCAGCTTGGAGACCACTTCAAGAAATAAAATGCCTCAGACCTCTTGGACAAAACTGTCCAAACTCTAGCAGGTTGGTTCAACAAGGCATCAAGAAGATCAATACCACAGCATGGGACGCTGGCTGCATTGTGCCCAAGAGGGCAACATAGTCATAGAAAAAGTTTCCATCCTCCTTGTCGTACCTCCAAAGCACGGTGTCAAGGAAAGCATCTCCGATCATATCAACTAAGGCAACTAAGACTGAGACACATAATTTCACTCTAGTATGTTTACCTGCATTTTTTTTTTCATGTTACTTCGAAAAAAATTCGGACTTGCTGCTATGGGTTTTCCTGCTTGTATAATTCCACAATGCCTGCCACCGGTGTAAGCTGCCACTGTTTTCTCCACAGCTGCAAAAAGCCTTGGTGCCCCATCACCACAAGAATCCAACACAGCCGTTTCCAGACCTATCATCGAAAAAAAAAATATCAGAAGTGTTCCTGCAAATTTCTGGTGAGTGGTACCTTTTGGCTTTGAGGCTCCTACTTGCTAGCCATTTTGTCATCTATGCTTTCTTCTTCTGGCACATTAAAGGTGGCCTCACAAATTTCGAATCAACGAGGCAATTCCGAGTGCCTTCAACCACAACAACAAAATGTGTTTTTTGCATCTTTGATGCCTGACATACTCAAGGTTTGAAGTCACCAACATGAACAAAAACAAACGTCAAAAACAACCCAACTGTGGAATCTTGGTACAAGGCCTAGGATTCTATTCGACATCTACAGTCTGTCGTGAGAGTCACGATCAAAACCCTTGAAAAACAACGTACATGTAAAAGGCCATCAAACTTGTGAAGTTTTCAGCGATCCCAAAGTGGAAGACACCAGAACTAAACTGACACACAATGTTGCCAACCATCCATCAGCACTTTTTGTGTCCTTGATCAATTTTGTTGAATCAACTGTTGCGACGTTTATACACAGATAACCCTGAATGTTTTTGCCAAATCACGTCTCAAATGTTAGTCAATCCAACTCCCCTACTTCGACAACGAAACACTACAAATCACTACAAGATTGATGTAAAAATGATAGGAAATGTTGGGGTTGTTTGTGAACATGCACGATCACACTGACATTGACAGGCGCCTCGTTCAATTTGTAAAGATCTTCGGCCTCTAATTGTTTCTTTGTTGCCAGCGTCTGCGCGGAGTGTGAGGAAAGAAAAAAAGAGGGTGATTGTTGTTTCCCGCTCGATTGGTTGAAATATGTCAGTACTAACATCAAACATCATCCACCATCCCCACAGATACCAATCATTTTGTATTAAGAAAATGGAAACAAAGGAAATATGGAAAATCAAATCATCCAACACATGGATTGGGCCCCACATTTCATCCATCGACCCACGTTTGACTGAAAACTCAAACCCTGCGTATGAAATTGATGTATGTAATCTGCCCAAAAAAAATCAAACGCAAAAATTATAAACCCCTGGCAAGTTAAAGGTTTCCTCCGAAAATGCAAAATGGTTTCATACAAAAAGTTGTTGCAGTGTCTTACCAGCCCACGCAGGTGCATCAAGACACATCAAACGTGTATCACCAACAAATTAAAGAATTGTCACAGACACATCCACGCCTGCAACACCGTCTTCAAATACATGGTTCAAAAAGATGCACTAAGTCATCCAACCGTTCAACCCATTACAAAATTGAAGCCGAAAAAACTGCGGTCAAGTGTTGTTTCACCACATCGATTTCATTGTCATTTGTTTAAAAAGTGGAAGCTGAATTGAAATTCAAAATTGACAACCCATTGTCTTATCCATGGCAAAGGCCGTGTGATGCACCTGAAACAACCTACTTGAGGCCGGGGGTGGATGACGAAAGCTAGCGGGGTAGGAGAAAGAAGGAAGGGAAGAGGTGAGTTGCGGAGGGACTGTCATCATCGTGTCGCGGCATTGTTCGTCCCAACGAGGATGCAACAATGATATATTGATATATGATATATAACAATGATATATATGGGGGAGGGGGCAGGGGGGGCCCTTTCGCGGGAAAAATCACGTGATGTCCTTGGGGAGCCCCGGAATACGTGCTAAAGCAAGAAGACTCTAGCGAGCTGACGCTAGCTTTCGTGATAATGACAATAATTGCCAATAATGATAAAATGTAATTGAATAACGATGATGATGATGATGAAGATGATGATGATGATGACGAGGACGCGGACGAGGACGAGGACGAGGACGATGACGATGATGATGACGATGATGATGACGATGATGATGACGATGATGATGACGATGATAGATGACGATAGATAGATAGATAGATAGATAGATAGATAGATAGATACATAGATAGATAGAAAGATAATGATGATGATGACGAGGATGCTGATGATGATGATGATGATGACGATGATGATGACGATGACGATGACGAGGACGATGACGAGGACGACGATGATGATGATGATGATGATGCTGACGGGGACGCGGACGAGGACGAGGACGATGGAGAGGACGATGACGATGATGATGACGATGATGATGACGATGATGATGACGATGATGATGACGATGATGATGATGATGATGGTGGTGATGGTGGTGGTGGTGGGGGAGGGGGGGGGCCCTTTCGCGTGAAAAATCACGTGATGTCCTTGAGCAGCCCCCCCAATACTTGCTAAAGCAAGAAGACTCCAGCTAGCTGACGCTAGCTTTCGTGAAAAATAGACCAATATCAATATTTTGAAGTAAGTGCAATCATGTCAACCCTATTTTTTTCCCGGTCCAACAAGAAATGCATCCCCCAATGGGATGGGGAAATGTGCAACTTTTGCTTGAGAAAACAAGCGCCTCAGATATGAACAGATACTACACTTGATCTGCGACATGACGTGAGTGTCCCATGACGCAAAATGAATGATATGCAGACAGCGTCACATGGAAACACCCCGCCTCGCTGCAAACTTTAGTCGGCAGCGCTTGAAAGCAATGCCAACGCTTCCAAGGAATTTTGAAACCTACATGCAAATCTATGTGGCGTCCATGTCGTCTTCAGTCTCTGATTCATCCTCTGAAGTTCCATGGTGTATGGCCATCCAAGCCTCAGGGTCGCCGACCTCGCACAATTCTGATTGGCAGTAGCGTTGAAACTTCTGAGACTCGGTTTCCATCATCTCGTCTGAATCTTCATCCTCGCTTTCTCCAGCTTCATCCATTGGGGGATTGTCAATGTTTTCCATCAAAGCACGTGCAATTGAATCCACATGAGAACTGCCTGAAGTCGCAGGTTCATCTCGTTCCATTGCAACTGCGTCAGAAAGTCTTTGACCTATCTCCACTGCATGTTCGACCTCATCCATGGTGTTGCACAACTGAATCCAGCTTTGGCCATAGTTTGGAGACTCTTCATCACTTGAAAGCTCTGTCATGTTTCTGGCCATGACAGCTGCTGACAGTCTAGTTGACTGGTCTCCAGACTTACAAGCATTCATCACGTTGCAAAGCAATTGAAGTCGCTCTTCATACAGCTGCTGTCGTTCCAACGTAACTGCTGTAGATCTTCTGCGCAAACACCTTGAATAAATGAAAGTCAACATTGCCTCAGGGCTCCACGCAGCATGAGGTTCAGGTAGATCATTTTCATCTCTCAACACAGGCATCTCAATTGGATCTCGAATGCTCGTGCTCGAGCTTGCAACATTGTTCGAACGAAACTCGCTGTTGGCAGCGATGATTGCAGCACCAATATAGGACATTCTGATTGACCCACCTTCGTCATCATTGATCTCGTTCATAGTTGGTTCCTCCAAAACAGGAGTGTCATTGTCTTGAGGGCTCTCTGCAACTCTTGCAAGCCAATTGAAAAACCAAATCATTCCAACTCCAATGCACAAGGTGAAAAGCAAAATGAAGAGGTTACAGCCATCTTCCAAAGTTGAATCACATCCTTGTAAATGAAGTTGGATCAGGCTCAAGGCGCCAGCAAGGGCTCTGTGGTTGACCCTTCGAACAAAAACTCGTCCTGGATCGTCGGCTCCTTCCAAACATCCATTTGATCTGTTGTACAAACCAAGCAAACTCATCAAAGATCTTATTCTCGGGGCAGGTAAACGTTTTGTTCCGATGTCAGCGGGATTCGAATGGCCGCTGATGCTGCATAACTTCAGCATTCCATTTCCAACCATGTCCTGCAACCACAAGATGCGGCAACTCAAGTGTCTCAAATGTCCCACTCCCCTTCGATTCAAGATTCCTTTGGCACCACTGCTGTCAGTGTAGATGTAGATAAGGGTTCTTTTGTTGGTGATCCATGTCAACAACCTGGCAAGTAGGATGGCATCACTGGCTCCACTGCTGCAAGCGTAAACTTCTGCTTCAGCTGATGACAACGAAGTGATCTTCTGAGTCCTTGATGCTGAGTATATCAAGCACTTCCCAAACATCACAATGCAAAAGCTTACAGACCTTCTGCTGACACGGTCTGAAGCCCCCTCTTGCATATGCGGAGGATGCACTGCTTTGGAAAGGTGATGTCAATCAGAGTCAGTGAAATTCCAAAACATGTTCATTTGGATCCACGTTCGGATAGTCGTGGAAAATGCCAGTTGCTTGACCACCCCATTTCAAAGAGACGCAAACGTCCATGTGGCTGCAAAGATATCCCACCAAATGTCGAAGTACTGTCAAACATAGGTGGCCGTGTCGAATGACATGTTGAGTTTGTGGAACATCATTCGCCAGATACATCAAAACACCAACACATGTCCTAAAAGTCGTGGCTGATGAAGATGAAAGGTCTGCCGTGTCATCTTCCTTTTCAATATCAGCATGTGCAGGCCTTTTCTTGTTCTGGTTTCGAACATTCAATCCAAGCAAACTGCAAAGCTGGGTGATGCGCTTCTCATGCGTTTGAATTGTCAACCTTCCATCATCATGAAGTGTATCTTATATTCGAACAAACTCAGGTGAAAGAAAGTTGGGTCGCATGTTACAAAGGTTGAGTCGCAACGTAATTGCCGAGTAGTAGTACTAAGTACAAAGTGAATATGTGTATACACCGTGGTATATACATATATAAATATAAATGAGACAAAACGTCTCCGTTGAAACATACGCAGTCGAAACGTCAAAAAACAAAAACACAGCATGGAAAACTGAGATTCAAAACAGTGGATGACTCACGGATCGAAAGCTGCCTGTTTTCTTCGCGCTCTGAGCGTTAGCACCATATGTTTTGCTGAGCATGTGTTGAAGACAGTTTGAGGAATCTGTCTTATTGTGTGAATCTCACTTTTGTGAGTTGTCGCCACAAGGTTGCTCAGTTGGTGTCCCCCACCAACAAAGGGTTTGGGAGGGTGGGCCGAAAAGAAATGGTTGGTGAAAAGGTTTTTTTAACCCTTCCCTACCTCACCCTTGATATGTAAAACGCCACACGAATATATATTCAGATGTGGTACCAAAAGACATGTTAAATGTTGTTCAAGGTTTGAAAGGTTTGGCAAATGAGTTTGAACAAACCAAGTGAACATGCAAGATTCCCAAATTAAAAGATTAACTGTTTCACACTGAGTTGCAAAAAAATTGTTGAAACATTTTGCACTGTTCTTCTAAAGATAGTGCTCTCACTTCGTGACAGCACTCATCTTATATTAGAACAAACTCAGGTGAAAGAAAGTTGGGTCGCATGTTACAAAGGTTGAGTTGCAACGTAATTGCCGAGTAGTAGTACTAAGTACAAAGTGAATATGTGTATACGCCGTGGTATATACATATATAAATATTAAATGAGACAGAACGTCTCCGTTGAAACATACGCAGTCGAAATGTCAAAAATCAAAAACACAGCAAGAAAAACTGAGATTCAAAACAGTGGATGGCGCACGGATCGAAAGCTGCCTGTTTTCTTCGCGCTCGCTAGCACCATATGTTTTGCTGAGCATGTGTTGAAGACAGTTTGAGGAATCTGTCTTATTGTGTGAATCTCACTTTTGTGAGTTGTCGCCACAAGGTTGCTCAGTTGGTGTCCCCCCCCACAAAGGGTTTGGGAGGGTGGGCCGAAAAGAAATGGTTGGTGGAAGAAAAAGTTTTTTAACCCTTCCCTACCTCACCCTTGATATGTAAAACGCCACACGAATATATATTCAGATGTGGTACCAAAAGACATGTTAAATGTTGTTCAAGGTTTGAAAGGTTTGGCAAATGAGTTTGAACAAACCAAGTGAACATGCAAGATTCCCAAATTAAAAGATTAACTGTTTCACACTGAGTTGCAAAAATTTTGTTGAAAAATTTTGCACTGTTCTTCTAAAGATAGTGCTCTCACTTCGTGACAGCACTCATCTTATATTAGAACAAACTCAGGTGAAAGAAAGTTGGGTCGCATGTTACAAAGGTTGAGTTGCAACGTAATTGCCGAGTAGTAGTACTAAGTACAAAGTGAATATGTGTATACGCCGTGGTATATACATATATAAATATTAAATGAGACGGAACGTCTCCGTTGAAACATACGCAGTCGAAACGTCAAAAATCAAAAACACAGCAAGAAAAACTGAGATTCAAAACAGTGGATGACGCACGGATCGAAAGCTGCATGTTTTCTTCGCGCTCTGAGTGTCTGGGGCGTTAGCACCGTATGTTTTGCTGAGCA